ACATTAAAGTGTGACAAACATGCAAAAAAATAAGAAATCAGGAAGGGGGCCAACACTTTTTCACACCACTGTATACTGGCATTCACACATTAGCATGCACAGGCAGGTTGTGTACTGTTCTTAATATTAAAACCCTGTTTATAAGCACTGCAAGAAAAAAATAAATTTTAAATGTTTCAAACAAATGTTGTAGTATATATATATTTTTTTATCTGGATCTAAAATAAAGTTGACATTATCATAACTAGAACATTTATGTTAAAAATTTTGAACAAGTTGAAACAGCAAATATTGTAAAGTCAAATGAACTTCAATAAAACAATTCAGCACTAGGCAAGATTTAAATTAGTGAGTTGAAATGACTTGTACTTTTAAGTTGCTTTAACGTAACATTTTAAGGCAGCCACAAAACTTATGTTTTTAAGTTGAAAGGGGTGAACATTTTTTACAGTGTATGTGGATAAATATAATTGGAAGTAAATTAGGAGTATTTGTTGTACTGAATTTAGTATTCATTTAAAAAAAGGATGATTTCCATTACTCTGAGAATTCCCCCCCCACATTACAGTAATAGGAGTGTGCTTAATTCATGTCTTAATTCAGGTCTTAAGTCATGCAAATATCTAAATTTAAAGTTTTGTTTATTATCTTGATTTGGGGGTGGAATATGACTCAACTGAGATTCACCTACCAAGTATTATTTCCATATGTAAACGTGACATATGCGTTTTCCCTGTTACTGTTTTTGCCCTTAGCTGAGAGACCAGAGTCAAATCAAAAGCATTTGCTGGCACCGTTTGTATATGCTAAGAATAGCGTTTATATATCTCGTCTGTATCAGCACAAACATGAACCCTTGGTGTTTTTTCCATACGGCTCTGCTCTTCCTCATGTCAGTGCTGCATTAACACAGACTGAGTCTTCTGAGGGCAAACAGCTAGTGTGCACAGGCCCTTCAGATGGTTTACACTAGACATTCCTCTAGAAGAACAGCACTGTAGAGGGCCAGGTTAACGTGGTCTCATTTAACACGTTTATTCAACTGTGTCTGTGTACGACACTTTCTTTCCATGAAGGTGTCAGGGCTGGTGGCTCTAAATGAGACACTGTGTAAGCTCGCCTCATATTCTTGGAGCAGGAGTAGATGGACTACATGAGATCAAACATGCTTGCAGACATTTTATATGCTACACTTTTAGAACAACTCATTGCCAACCAATCGGAAGCACTGTCAGTGAAACCGAGTGAAAAATATTCCAGTGTTTAGCACTGTTCACACTTTCTTCAACAATGATTGACCGACAAACTTTCTTCACATTTCAGCTGCTTCCTTACTAGTCTTTTCATGGTGATTCTGATGACAGATTTATTATTGTTTGCCGATCTCTTCAAGAGTGATGGAAAGAGTTGTTCATACACTCTCAGAAAAAAAGGTACAAAAGCGGTACCTTTTCAAAAGGTACTAATATGTACCATTTAGGTACTATATGCACTTTAGGTATAAGTATGTACCATTAAGGAACTAAAATGTATCTTTTAGGGGTAAAGAAGGTACAAAGATATATATTTTGAAAGGGTTTGTCCCAGTTACAGCTTTTGTAAAAAAAAAAAAATCCGGAGAGTGTAACCATTGTTACTGGGTGCATTCCGTCTTGTATTGAGAACTCTGTCTCTTCAGTATTCAGTATTCAGTTGAAATGTCAAGAACATGACCTGCCATTATCACTTTCTTCCATAAATAACCATGTTTTTGCACAATACCTATAGATATCATTTTTCAAAATAAAATGCATTGTTCATAGAAGACATTTCAGATAAAGGACATTGTTCATACAAGATACAGTTACCTTGAACTTTTGTCTTGTTTTCCAGTTAAAATATCTAAATATCCACAACAAATTCATTTAGGCTAAATTGGCAAACCATTTCTTTCTTTCTTTCTTTCTTATAAAAAAGTGAACAATATTTCACTTTTTTCTCTTTATTGTTTCTTAGTTAGTATTTATTAATATTTTATATAATATTTAGTTTGACTTCCTGAGGTTGATAATCAACATTTTCTGAAGGTAAAGCACCTCTCACTGACCATTTACTGAAAAACAATCTTTAATAATTTTAAATATACACTGTAACAGGATTTTTAAAAGTTTGACAGGAAAATACTATAAATATTCTGAAAAAATATTCTGCTTCAAATGTTCATGTTTAGTTTAACGTGTTACTTGGATTTTTTTTTTTTTTTTTGTGAAATTTACTTTAATTTTTTTACTGAGAAAAACAAATCTATGCCATTTTTTCAGTGTATAAATAGTTTTTAAATAGTTTTAGGCCAATTTTGTGTTAAATCTTGAATGACGTTTAGTTTTATTAGCCCACTGGCCATTCGCTTTTTTTTTTCTTGTTTTAAGCATAAACATCACAAAATGTTGTTTTGTTGATAGCAAATTTGGTTTGTTTTCTCATGGAGCGCATCTTTAATTTGTTTAACACACTGAGATAAATTTCCTTTCCCTTGCACACAAACCTGATCCACGTTGCATCCAATATTGGCAGTTTATCCTCTCTAAACACACTGAAGATCATAAATACATTAAATGAATGATTTCTTCTGGACTTAATGCATCTGTAGCTTTGTTTAAAAGATCATTTGCACTCTAAATGTGCTTTGCAGATGCGCACGATTACAGCGAGACAGATACTGATGGCTCCTTTCAGAGACCCCCTCTGGTCTCCAGCCTCTTCCGTAATGCTCCGAGTAATGGAAAATGAAATGTGCATGTGGTTTAAATTCATTATGAGCAATCCAGAGTGGAGAAGAAGATACTTCTCGAGTATATCTGAGACTGAATGTTGTATTCCTTTGTTGCGTGTCATTTATTTCATTTGAGGCTGCTGCATGATCTAATGTGCCTTATAAAGCATGGAGGATACTGACAGTTGTTTTATTTATGCGCAATACAAATATGAGAAATATTAATAGTGATAACTGTCATTGCAAATATTATAGCACCAACACAATGTGGTTTAGAAACCCATAAACCTAAGTGTGAGCAATAGTGATGCTTGCCTTGGTGATAAATCTTGTGTTGGATGCCAGTATTGGTTTGTGGCCATTGGTTGACTTTATGGTTACAGGTCGTGAACTTAAACCCCATTTAGGTGATGTCAGTTTCCGTTTGATCTCAGACTTATGGCCTCTACGGGACTCTTCTCAGTGCTCAAAGGTCTTGTCGGTTTAATCAGATTTTGGAGACAGTGAAAGCAAACATGTTGTCTAGTGAAGAATCTAAGGGAAAATGAAAGGCTTCTGCCAGTGACCTTTAATCCACGATCAAAGAAAGACCTCGAAAAGACCTTCAAAGACAACAGACGTATATCAACATGAGTCCGCTAAATGTAAAAAAATGTCATAGACTCAAGCATATTGTAATATGATTTTCCTCTTTTTTTACGTAGTTGTAAATAAAACAAAGATTGCTGGAGTACCTTTTACAAGAAAACGCAATTTCAGTCTTTCTACTTCAAAATGTAAAGTTTATTTGTAATTATTTGTGAAATTTACTAGCAATTGTTGCAGAGAAAATGGTTTCAAAGTAAACCCTACACCGATTTTTTCAGTGCAGTGAAAATATCTAATATAGGCCATGTCCTTAAATTTGCATTTGCTTTTGTGCAAGACTTGCTTTCAGAGAATATTTTACACTTTCCACAAACACAGTACAGCAGTGCTATTTTATTATCATTGAGGTACTATATTATACTATTGTATTATAAAATACGAATTTTATGAATAATTTGAATCGGTTTTTATTTTTATATCTTCAGTTTTTATTGTATTTTTTTGTCATTTTTTATATAGTTTTTTGTTAATCTTTATTTTTGGTACAGTTAAAACTAAATTAAAACAAGAAATGTATATATAAATATAAATGTATATATTTACATTTACATTTAGTCATTTAGCAGACGCTTTTATCCAAAGCGACTTACAAATGAGGACAATAAAAGCAGTCAAAACTAACAAAAGAGCAACAATATATAAGTGCAAATGACAAGTCTCGGTTAGCCTAACACAGTACACGTAGCAAGGTACATACATACATACACACACACATACACAGAGAGAAAAACAAGTAGATAGAATAGAAAAAATAGAAAGCTAGTGTTTGTTTGTTTTTTGTTGTTTTTTTTTAAATAATAAATAAATAAATAAATAAAAATTTAAATAGAATAGAAAGTGTGAATAACCCTGCAGTAATCTTTTTAAGTATTAGATGCACAATTCTCATGTTTTTGTAGTAAACAAATGACATTATATATGTTTCATTACATATATAATTCTCTGGTGGTGAAAAAATCTTATTTCACTATATTGAAGGAATGTCCATATCAAGAAACCAGAATATCTTAATATACTTAAGGGTGGATTCTTTTGGCTCGAGTCAGTACAAATAAACCTAAAACCACCTGGAAAACACCTTACTTAAAAATCTAGTTGTAAAACTATTGGTTCACCTCATGAGTGCATTCAGAAACATCGATATATTCAAATCCGTGTTGTGATTTGTGAATTGTTTCCCCACTGGGTATCATTCGATAATGATGTCAGAGGAGCGATCCCAAAAGAAGGTACAAAAAACACCCATCATTATATCCTCAAATATGCCGTATTGAAACAAGTTCATACTTATGTCTGAGGCAGGGGTTTCCAAACTTTCCCAGCTATGATGGAAGCACTGAAGTCATAGTCGGCAAACAGCCAAATGCAACTGTAATAGAACTGCAACGAAAAGAAATATGCCATCATTGCATAGGGAGGCCCTCGCACTGTATATAATGCATTTGTCTTCATAGCAACCCTTGTTTGGTGTATAGTGTATAGTGCACTCATTTTGTTTGACCCTGAGCGTTTTGAGAAATCACAGCATAAAATATGTCTAATTGCTTCCTTAAGAGGTACTATTTGATACTGGACTCCCTCTATAGTTGCATATCCTTACATGTAAACACGTAATTTCCTCTTGATGGCGGAAGGCACTCGTCCATGGAGCAGTAGGTGTCAGATTCATGAGAAACCTGCTCCATTTGTTTTTCTAAACTATTGTTTTCACATTTCAGAGCAGCTGTTACATTTTTTTCGTTACGCTAATGGATCTGAGAGCATTACAAGTCTTTGTCTTAATTCAGCGGATGATATTACCACAAGGTGCTCCAAGGAAAACATTAACAATTTAGGTTATAAATATTACACTATACATTTGGCAAAGCTCAAGAATTATTTGAATAACTGTATAGCTTCTTTTTTTTTAAATATTATGCACCTATCTTTTTTTTCTTTTGAAGGGGCATTGAGTTGATAATAATTAATAATTAATATTTCAAGCAAAATAAATCATAAATGATCTGAAAAAAATTATCTGGAATTTTTTTTTTTTAAATGATCTGACTTTATATATTATATTTATAATAGACATTTATATATTTTTATATATTTCTGCTAAACGTCTTACACTTCAAATCTAGAAAAAAGTGCAATAAATGTAATGTACAAATGTAATGTTATTTCTTTAAATACTAACTAAATAAATATTTAAAAACAAATACATATATACACTGTAGTAGATAAATGACATAAATCAAGATAAATCCCAATTATAAATTCCAGAGTATTTGCCATTGGTATACACAAAAGACCACAAAAAAACAGAAAAAAAAAAAAAAAAAACATTGATGACAAATCACATAAATCAGGATAAATCCCAATTTTAAATTCAACAGTATTTATCATTGTTATATAACTGCATAATGTTATAAAACTGCATAATCTATTTCGTAATTAAGTCCATTTGAAAACAATTTATCTAGCAAGAAAATCCCAAAATCCTAGTTCATCATCAAAGAAACTCTTATTAACTGTTGCTTTTTTTTTGTTTTGGACAAATAGACCGCTATAGGACGTTTAGGAGGGAATGAAAATGACCAGTTGTGAAATATCACAACTACACTTGTTAACAGTATGTGTGCATACTGTGCATTTTCCATTTCACTGAAGCTCTAAAATCTCATTCACTTCCACATTTACATATAAAAATCATCACTGACAGCAAAAGGCATTGGTTCTCAAATGTGTCATAGCTAAACATTTGTATATGTGGAATAGAGAATTATATTTCAGAGCCAAAAGTGAGGATAATAGGTGTACAGTGACTTTTGGCTTTATGTTTCTCACACAAAGACTGGGAAATAGTGCACAATTAGTGCGTTTATGGTGCTCTTATGGTGTCCTGTCTGGATCTTGACAGTGGTGGTCTGTGAACTGTCTTGGTCAAATGTCACAGGCTTGTATGTGTGTTTACAATATCTCACTGAACAATGAAAGATGCAAACCGCAGTCAGGCTGCATGTGCCAGATCTCTTTCTGGCCGACTCAGTGCTTTTGTTTTGCAGTAAGCATTTTCGTCGGAAACGGCTACAAAAAAAAAAAAAAAAAGCCTGTAATGATGACACATTTATTGCCGTCTGCTCTAGTATCCTCGATGTCAGTTTCAGCATGCACTCTAAAAAATGCTGGGTTGTTTCAACCCAACTTTGGGTCAAATATGGACTAACCCAACCATTGGGTTAAATGTTTACGTTCAATTTTTAACCCAAAAGTTGGGTTAGTCCAAATTTGACCTAAAGTTGGGTTGAAATAACCCTGCATTTTTTAGTGTGCATGTAGCATGATTTTAAAATTCCTGTACAGGATAGGAAACCATAATCCCTTCTCTTCACACACTTAAACTTTGATCGAATAGGATATTCAATGAAACTATTGCTCTCACGTGATGATCAGATGGGAAAAGGCATGTTATAGAGAAGCTACATGCTTTTCAACATGGCCTCTCTCTCTTCCTCTATTACTGCACCTTCACAACCTCTTCAAGTATTGCACAATGACAGACAGGAAGCACTCAAGCTATCCAAACAGATGGCGAGGCAGAGATGTGGAGTAATGATGCAAACTTCATACGTGAGGACCTTTTGTTAATACCAGGGAATTTCCTCACAGCTGCTAGAGAGGGACTTTCTCCACAGTTTATAGCAAAAGAAAAACAGGACACTCACCTCACTTTGCTCTGCAAGTTTTTTTTTCTTTTTCTTTTTACAAACAGATTGTGTTTAATGTTAAATAGAAATGTTTTAACTGAGATTTCCCTCGTTTTTTTTGTCTCAAGGGTTTCTCGGATCTCATTTTCTGAGCTTGGGAGGGCCGGAAAATTTGACTACATATATCCTAACCTGCGCATGGATGTATTTCCAAAGGTTTTCTCACTTTTACACCAGACCCTGTTCCATAAAATGTAATTATTTTAGTCCGAACATATCTGATATCAAGGAAACTCCCTTAAAGGTGGTTCCGATTCAATCGTGTTTTTTTATTTTACCATCAGATATGATGGTAGGACTTTGTGTTTAGTTATTTAAGACTTTCTAATGGTGCTTAAAGGCATAGTTCATCTAAAATATGAAAATTCAACAGTTCTGTGTGGCTTTAATGCACTCAGTCCATTTAGTCAAAATTAAAATAAAAAATTAAAGCCTAGAATTTTAGACTGTCCCTCACAGAAGACTTTGATTATAGAACAAAGTCATTTTAACTGCTTTTATGGTGTTTTTAATGTTTTTTTGAAACTTTGAATCTTTGGAGGACATTGTGAACTAATGACTGAAGTTTTATCAAAATTTGCCATTTTATATTTCACAGAAAACAATACTTTACCTAATGCATTTCCAAACATGTAAATAAATAAATAAATAAAAATAAACATATTTAATATATAAATACATATTTTTAATAATGAAAATATAAAGAAATTCCCATCATAATTTCAAGATTTATAATATTCTAAAGGTTTTTATATTTACTATTAATAATAAAACCATAGGGAACTTTCCCCTTATGTTTTTATCTTGGTTTATGAAGGTAAAAGAAAGTTCCCATGTTGCATTATATAAAGAGCTATAAAATATACCTTTAATATTTTTTTGAAACTCAATTTTTTTTTTTTTTTTTTTAATCTCTGGAGGACATTGTGAACTAATGACTGCATCAAATATTGCCAAAATACTTTACTCTACCTAATGTGTTTCCAAACCTGTAAAAATATTATATATATATAAATATGTATTTTTAATAATGAAAAAAAAAAGTCAATCATAATTTTTTAAGATTCATAATTTTCTAAAGGTTTTTTACGTTTACATATATTTTACAATTATAAAACTATGGGGAACTTCACCTTCATATTTTTACCTTAAGGTAAAAATATGAAGGTGAAGTCCCCATAAACCAATTGGTTTATGAAGGTAAAAGAAAGTTCCCAGGTTTTATTATAATAAGATCTATAAAATATACCTTTGATACAACCTTTAATACCTTTAATAAAAACCTTTAGAATCTATGATTTTTTTTCATCTCATTTATATCAGTATCATTTTAAAAGGTTGAAGTCTGTTTTTTTCCCTTGATTAAAAAAGAAAGAAGAAGAATAGACAGAACTCTCTGTGAACTGAGAACCAGTGATTCAGATTCACGTATCAAGTCAACAAGTTGTAGGAAGTGATATGTGTGTATATGGAAGTGAGAGAGGGATGGCTGCCAGGAGGAATCCGAGAACAATAGTTGCTGAAATGTAAGACATCCTCCTCTGCAAAAAAAGCAGCAGCAGCAGCACACCTCTGCTGGGAAAGATGCTCAGGTCAGCAGTGCTCACACACATTCACCAGTCAAACCAGTCAGGATCCAACACGTCCTTGGATAAAAATACTTAAGTCACTAAGGTTGTGGAACACGTCAACGGATGTCCTCATGCAAACCAGAGATCTTGGGAGTTGCTTCCACTTTGTGCAACAGGCTTTGATAACAAAATACGAAGCAATTAACTTCCATCTGGTGTTTTGTTGTGATTTATTGTGTAGCACTTCCTGTTGTTCTGGAAGTAATCGTTCTTGACGCATGACTCCAAATTGATCTCATATGACTCTATTCATTGACAATTTAGTGATTCCCATTGATTGCAAAATGCTATGGTCATAATTTCATATTTCCCTGCCTTATTCATTAAGCGTCATCTGTGTTTGAGACAGTCCCTCTTTTTTATGAAATTTGTAAGTTATATTATTGAAGGAAAAGTTCAACCAAAAAAAAAAAAGAATGATGTTATCATTTACGCATCATATGCCTTTCTGCCTTCAATAAATAAAGGAGATAGAATATACAATGTTGCTCTTTTCAATAGTAAGTTTCAAAGTTCCATAAAAGACTGTAAAAATATAAAAGCATCATAAAATCACCACAAAAATTCTCATGCCCAATGCATTATATTGCCATTGTCTTCTAAAGCAAAACAATAGCATAAGAAACCAAAATGTTTAATGTTGTTAAAGTGTTAATGTTGCAAGCAACTGTAATGCACAAGTTTGATTGTGCAAATAAAATTTGATTGCTATAGCGTTTCATTTCAAGCCCAAACAGCAAAAAAAAAAAAAAAAAAATCTGGTAAAAATAATCTACAAATATATGAAAGTCCTAACAAGTTGCATCAACTGTTTGGTGCTTTTTTCTCATTTTTGAAACTTTACAGTGTAGAAATTACTCTCCATATTTACTTTAATTTAATATTATTCCTAACATCTCTTTTTTTTACGGCAGAAAGAATGGGTTTGAAAGTTCAGAAGGGTTAGTAAATGATGACAGAATTAAATTTTCAGCTGAGCTGTTCCTGATCTTTCACTTTTTAGTCTATAATTCCAAAACTTACACAAAGTGGATGAAGGATGGATAGCTTGGTGGTTAAAAGATGTGGGTCGGTGACCCAAAGGTTGTAGGTTCAAACTCCAAAAGAGGTGATTCATTAGCTGCCACTGTTATGCCCTTGAGCAAGGTATTTAATTTCGGGTTGCTCCAGAGCAATACAGTAGCAGAAAATGTACTGTATGTACTGAAAACATAAGTAAACACAATAGCATTAATCAAACTATGAGTGGCAACACCCTTACACACTGTTTTTTTTTCTTTCTGTCATTTCGCACTATTGTCGTTGCTTCTTAACTGCACACCATCGATTTCCCCTAGACTTCCTTTCTGGAGTGATGATGTCAGCAGACCTCCCTGGTTGCCTCATTGTTTATGAGTGGTGGAAATCCTATGCTGGCCATTGATGAAGGTCAAATAAAGGACAGGCTCTGTTTATTTTCCTTCCAGCCAGCCTCTCCACATCATCTCAAGAAGCATGGAAGGCACTCACAAAAACACGGCGGTGCCAGCTAGGATATTTGAGAGCGATGCCTTGTCTCCCGGCAGCCATATGTAGAAAAGGTGATGTTGCAATTCTAGCGTTTGATAGCTGGCTGTAGTAGTTTTCAACAAATCTATCTCCATGCAAAACTAGCAGTGCATACAAATATTCAATGCAATGGACAAACCAGAATGTTCAAGAAAATAGCGTTGCTTATAATTTCCATTTAGTGTGTGTGCACATTGCACAACACATCGTGGTCTGTGCATAGTGCCAGATTCATTGCTATTGTCACAATCATGATGAATAAAAGGTTTAGCACATTGCCCACTGCAGCCTTAATCAAAAGCAGCTTTGCTTAAAAGTGGCTACATATGAAAGCAGGAGGAGTTTTAGGAGTGTCTTTGTTTAAAGGAATAGTTCACTCAAAAATTGAAATTTACTCACCCTCAGTCCTTCCAAGAGTTTTTTTTTTTTTCAGAATTTGAGAGATTTAGTTACATCACTTGCTCAGCAATGGATCCTCTGCAGTGAATGGGTGCCGTCAGAATTAGAGTCCAAACAGCTGATAAAAACATCACAATAATCCACAAGTAATCCACACATCTCCAGCCCATTAATTAATGTCTTGTGAAGTGAAAAGCTGCATGTTTATAAGAAACAAATAAAGGCATTTTAACTTTAAACTGTTGCTTCTGGCCAAAATACCAGTCCATAATCCATAAAAAATGTTTCCTCCAGTAAAAAAAAGTCAGTTCCCTGTTGCCTTATTTGTTAAGAACTGTTTTGGACTGTTGTAGCTTGCAAACTGTGCTTGATCTGTGCATATTTTTCTCCTGATTCAGATGAAATGACTTTTTCACAGGAGAAAGCAATATTATGGATAAAGGACTCGTATTTTAGCTTGAAGCAAAGTTTGAAGTTACAAACATCTTAATGATGGATTTGTTTCTTGCACAGCTTTTTGCTTCACAAGATGTTAATGGATGGACTGGTGTCATGAGGATTACTTGTGGATTATTGTGATGTTTTTATCAGCTGTTTGGACTCTCATTCTGACGGCACCCACTCACTGCAGAGGATCCATTGGTGAACAAGTGATGTAATGCTAAATTTCCCCAAATCTGTTCTGATGAAGAAGAAAATTCATCTACATCTTGGATGGCCTGAGGATGACTAAACTTTTAGGAAATTTTCATTTTTGGGTGAACTATTCCTTTAAGAGTGCCTACACACTAAAGAAAACTCTGACGCAGTGTTTGACAGCTAGGGATCCTTTTAGATGGCACAGAAAAAGTAAGACAATCTTTCTCACTATGACCCGAAAGTCTACTAAAGTAAAGTATAAACTGAGTCGACCACTGCCCGAGATAGACTTTTGTTCTTTCTAGTCACAAAGCCTTTTTTTATCCAGCTCTCATCACATCAACTGTAAAAGTGGTGTAATGATATACTGTACCTGAGATGTAAAGGCCTTCACTAGAAACAGGTTGGAGAGTCACATCTGGAGAATAAATAAGTCTCAACAGCAGACACTGGATTTGCACTCAGGTATAGTGCAGTATATGTCTGAGGCACTGCTCTGTCAAATTTATAGGAAAAAAACGAGACTCAGACGTGAAGAGATCCATTTGGACAACAGCAGCCGCCACTCAACTCCCTGTCTGCATTTGACATGCTGCAAATGACTTAATATAACCACCCGCAATTCCTTAAGAGAAATTTTTTTTTGGTCCAACTATATTTCAGATATATGCTAAATATATTGCAGATTAATATTTTAACATTTATATTAGCAATATGTTTCAAGTTATTGTATTTTTGCCACAGTTAAAACCATCCATGGAAACTAATAAAGTCAGGACGTTGTTCTATTATTTTCATACCAGCTGAATGGTATTAATTATGGATAGTATAACCGTCACCATCTACATTACCTAGTTTGAAGCCAGTAGTCTTGGTTAAAAGAAATATGTGTATGTATGCCTTCAGTTCAATCTAGGGGCTCATAGTAGCAATGATTTCCTTGGAGGAAAATAAAAAGAAATGTCTTCCTTTAGTCTGACTGTGTAAAGAGTGAAACCATCGCTCATAGTGGTCCCCGGTGAGAGCTGCCTATTTATCCAGAGGAGATGAAGCACATGGATACAGAAGGAGAGAGAGTACAGGGGTCAAGGAGTTCATATCCAGGGAATAACTCACAGTTTTAACCCCTTCATGTAACGAAAAGAAGTGGGCACTGTGAGTAAGAGCGCTGGAATGGTTGAGAAGAGGGCGAATGGAGGCAGCAGGGTTTAAATTTCATCACCAGAAAAGGGGATTAACAATGGCGGAGTCCCAGTGTGGAGAAAAAAAAAAAAAGAGTTCCCCACTTTTGGCTGAACTTCATTCCATTGTGTGGTTTCAGATTTTCCCAGAGCATATTTCCACAAGGGATAAGGACAAACAGGGCAGTCAATGGTTTTATAGTACTGAAATGTTTCATGTTTTTTTTTTTTTTTTACATGTTTGTCGTTGTTAGATAAAGATCATATCTTTAGAGTCACTGTAAAAACAGCACCATTAGAGTAATGTCCTGCAGTAACTTATTTCAGAATCAAAATCAGAATCAGAAAAGCTTTATTACCAAGTATGTTTACACACAGAAGGAAGTTGACTTGACGACAGGAACTTCCAGTGTAGAACAAAGTACAGACATAGTGCAGACATACATGATAGTGCAGACATACATAGGAATAACACAGTAGGGATGGAATATAACACTAATGTAAGAAAAAAAAACAGAAATTAAATAATGTACTATATTCAGAAATAGAAGTATAGATAAAAAATGTAATTGTTTAGATAAATGTACAGATATGTTATAAGTGTGCAGATATGTTATTTACAAAGTGTGCAGTTTGCAAGTGTACACATTTTGGATTCTGTGTATAAATATGTCAGTTGTGATGGATGATGTATAATTATGAAAGTTTAATTGTTCAGTTGTGATTGATGATGTATAATTATGAAAGTTTAATTGTTCAGGATGAATATAGCCTGTGGGAAAAATCTGTTCTTGTGCCTGGCTGTTCTGGTGGTCAGTGCTCTGTAGAGCCGACCAGAAGCCAATAGTTCGAAGAGTGGGCTGGGTGTGAGGTGTCCAAGGTGATTTTCTTAGCCCTTTTCCTCACTCTGGAGATGTAAAGATCTTGGAGCCTGGGCAGAAGGGCACCGATAATCCTCTCAGCAGTCCTGACTGTCCGTTGTAGTCTCTTGATGTCTGATTTTATAGCTGAACCAAACCAGACAGTTCAATGATACTCAATGATAGCAGAGTAGAACTGTTTCAGCAGCTCCTGTGGCAGGTTGAATTTCCTCAGCTGGCGAAAGGAAGTACAACCTCTGCTGGGCCTTTTTTGCAATGAATGAATGAATGAATGAATGACGCATTTATATAGCCCTTTATTGTGTATTGTTGTACACCCAAAGCACTTTACAATCATGTGGGGGGTCTCTCCTCAACCACCACCAGTGTGCAGCATCCACTTGGATGATGGAGTCTATGTGAGTGTCCCACTTCAGGTCCTGAGAGATTGCGGTGCCCAGGAACCTGAATGACTCTACTGCAGCCACAGTGCTGTTCCTGATGGTGAGTGGGGGGAGTGCTGGGGGCTTCCTCCTGAAGTCCACTATCATCTCCACTGTTTTGAGCGTGTTAAGCTCCAGGTTGTCCTTGATGAGGCCGATGACTGTAGTGTCGTCCGCAAACTTCAGGAGCTTTACAGAGGGGTCCTTTGAGGATGGGGGGTGGTAGACTGGCCTTTTCAAATCGGTAGTAAAACACATTCAGATCATCAGCCAGTTGTTGATTCTTCACAAACTGTGGGGGTGGTGTCTCCTCAGACCAGTCCATACTGACGCCGGATCGATGGCTGAAAGCTCGTTTCTCAGCTTTTCAGAGCAGTTTGTTTTAGCCACCCTGATCTCCTTTGTTAGTTTGTTCCTGGCCTGGTTAAACAAGATTTTATCCCCACTTCTGTAAGCATCCTCTTTGGCGTGACGAAGCTGTTTGAGTTTCCCAGTAAACCACGGTTTATCATTAATAAATGATAAGAATGTCCTGGTAGGAATGCACATATCTTCACGGAGACTGATATATGAAGTTACAGTCTCTGTGAGCTCGTCCAGATTGTTGGTTGCAGCTTCAAAAACACTCCAATCAGTGAGGTCGAAACAGGCTTGTAAATCCAGCTCTGCTTCATTAGTCCATCAGCACGCACGGAGCTTAACCAGGGCGCCGGCGCGTTTCCCTCTTCTGTGTCTGCACGCACGTTTGAACAACACAGCTGTACCTCCGACAAGAATGTCCAACAAAACGTCCGAATAATCAAAAACCAGAAAAATAGTCTCTGGGGTGTGTTGTTTAATGTTAAGGAGTTCGTCTCTGGTAAAACTTATAGACGAAGAATGACAAAAAAACAGAACAAACAAACAAAAACATCACAAGAATTGCAGCGCTCAGCGTCGTGGCTGCCATTTGTGGTGCCATCTTGTCCTTGATTATTTCTACTGTATATAATGTTTCTGCTGTATATAAAGTTATATAATGAATATGGGCTTCCGGTGCACACTCTATGAGCTTTAATTTAAGAGTATTCACATCAAAATTGGAGGAAAGGTTAAGGAATTACAGCTCTTTAATATGTACCTACCCCCTCAAGGGACCATAAGTTCAAGTTTTTTCAATTCAAGTTTATTTGTACAGCGCTTTTCATGATACAAATCATTGCAAAGCAACTTTACAGCAAATTAAGTTTCTACAATATTTAGTGGTAGCTTATCAGTGGTGACTGTCAGTCAATGTACATATGGCAGAAAGACAATTGACTCAAAAGCTGTTTCATGGACAGTCGTGGGCTATTCCTTCATTATCTCTACATTAATTAAGCAGGTAAAAGTTCTGGAGTTGATTCTAAGTGTGGCATTTGCATTTGGAAGCTGTTGCTGTGAACCCACATCATGTGGTCAAAGGAGCTCTCCATGCAAGTGAAACAGACAATTGTTGGGCTTCAAAAACAAAACAATTCCATTAGAGATATAGCAGACAACATCCAGCCAAGAGAAGAACACTCTCCAGGAGGTCGGCATGTCACTGTCACTCCAGTCTTCAGACTTTTTGATGAATATAAAGTTAGAAGAGTGTTGTAGAACATGGTGTTTATTTGAAATATACTGTATTTTGATCAATTTAATGCACCCTTGCTGAGTAAAAGTATTTAAAAAAATCTACTCATCCCAAAGTTTTAAATGGCAGTGAACATCAGGGGTTCAACCGTAATCTTACGAAGCTACGAGAATACTTTTTGTGTGCAAAGAAAACAATAATAACATAATTTATTCAACAATTCTTCTCCCCGAGGTACCCCAAAACGTTATCAACGTAATCAGTGTTGTTTATGTTCAGCATGCGCGCGCTGTCTACAATACTAAAAAGTATTCTCGTAGCTTCGTAAACTTATGGTTGAACCCCTGATGTCACATGGACTATTTTACCGATGTCCTTGCTACATTTCTGTGCATTGATCGTGGTAATATCCTTGCTGTCTATGGAGGGTCAGAGAGCTCTCAGATTCCATAAAAAATATCTTAATTTGTGTTCCGAAGATGAACAAAGGTCTTACAGGTTTGGAACAACATGAAGCTGAGTAATTAATGACAGAATTTTCATTTTTGGGTGAACTATCCCTTTAATGCGTTTACACTTTAAAATTTTCCTTTAATGATCGATGGTTGAAGAGGGAGTAAAATAATGTTACCTCATTGTACCCAGTTTTTTATAATGCTTATTATCGCGTTCATAGAGTGAACCTTTTTGCTGATTGTTTACAGTACAAACGTAAGTTACTCTCATAATTCGTCATGGGGTGTTGGAAAAAGGTGGATAAGGAAGTACGATTGTCCGTTTTCCTTTCTAAAGTGACCAAGTGACGACAAACCGAATGGGAACCAATGAAGATTGTGTGCAGTTTCTTCAATGTAATATATATAAGTGTACTTCACACACTTATATAAAGCTTTCTCTCTTTTCTCAACACCAGAAAGTAAAAATAATTAGTAACGAAATTAATGAAATAGAAGTTGTTAAGAACTTCAATCTACTTGGATCGATAGTGAATACCGAGGCCACATCAACCATGGAGGTCAAGCGGAGAATCGCAATGGGAAAGTCGATGATGAAGTCACTGGACAAGATTTTTAAATCTAAGGACATCTCCCTATCAATCAAGATTCGGCTTATGCACAGTTTGATCTTTTCCGTAGTCACCTACGGTTACAAGAGTTGGACGTTAAGGAAACAAGACAGTTAAAGGATCAATGCATTTGAAATGTGGTGCTGGAGACGAATTTTATCAATCCTATGGACTGCAAGAAGGACAAACAAATCAGTCTTGAAACAAATCAAGCGGGAAATATCACTCGAATCTCGGATTACACAATTACGTCTCGCCTACTTTGGCCACATCATAAAAAAACATCAATCACTGGAAAAGGACATCATGCTTGGCCGAACAGAGGGAACAAGGAAATGAGATTCCTGGAAGGCCAGCAACTTGATGGCTTGATACAATCACCGCAATGACAATCACGGACACTGGCCGAGCTCAACCAACTTACACAAGAAAGATCGATCTTCTTATAGATCATTTATCCATCAAGTGGCTATGGCTCGGAATCGAGCTGAGGGCCTTTAACTAACTAAATTTATCTGGCTTTCTTATATGGATATTCTGAGGTTTTGGAGTTTAATCACCCCAGGATTTACTGTGGTTCAAACAGATTTACTGCAACACTGGAAAGAAAATGAAATTGCACTTCAGTTGCTGCTTCTTTGATTGACCAGAATTCTATAATTTCTGAATTGTTAGTAAAAAGGATTAGATTAGTGATGGTGAACGTTATCGCTTTTTAGCCGTCCTCTCTGTGAATATAAACAAAGTCCTTTTAAGACAAGTCATGTCACTCGGCGGCCATCTTTGAAACGCCTCTCGGGCATGCAAGTGCAACTCCTATATCTTTGAATGGGGAAACAACAAATTATCCAAAACTGTTCACTAAGCTTACGATTAAATTTCATATTTGAAATCACCAAAGAAATCTGACAACAACTGTGTCATAAATGTTGTTACTTTTGCTCAAATAGCGTTATAAAAAGCTTATTTTTCAGGCTAGATCAGCCAGTGCGCTTAGAGCACGTCTCAGAACGCTGACTGTTTCTATAGCAACCTGGACTTCTAACGGCAGCTGCAGTGACGCGCTGACTTTACCGATTAGCGATTGGCTCTTTCATTCAGAAGGCGGGGCTTCCTGCGATTGAGCGGCCATATTGAGCGTTGCATTTTTCCCTATTCAAAACTATACGAGTGACACGTCTTGGGTATTCTTTGATATAAATTAGCTTACGCTGGAATAAATGGAGGTGAAAACTCCCAACTGGGGCGTTATAAGATTACTATTCGTGAGCCAAATGCCTTCATCTTGGTACAGGAATTGACGGACCTTGTTGGACGTTCATTGAGATTGAGATTCCTTATCAAGCCAGTTTTACTGTACATTTGCTCAATTATATCATATTACTAAGCGAGCTGGCGTCATTCGAGGTGTCACAGCCCTTCAGCTTCATATGGGTGAGACTGAATTATTGTTATCTTTTACAGTTTGCAGTTGAATGTTGATTTTAAAGGTTGAGAGATTGCATATCTAAAACTGTTGTTTTGTGTCTGATTGTTGTTTAATTGATGAATAGTTATGTATGTTTGCTGTGTACAGGGGCGTAGTTTAACAGTGATTAAAGTTTTTTAAAAGTTGAAAAAAGGGTAATCTTTCTTAAATTGGTGTTGGTGTTTAAAATAATAAGAAATTGTGTTTCAAGGTATCTGGCAGAGTATTATGTGTTTGTAAGAGATGTGCATCGTCACTCAGGGGGAGTAGCACTGATATTTATCTTAGTAGATTTAAGAGTTCAGTGGGGAAGAATACCTTTTTATATGCAAGCTCTATATTGTACTAGCTCTATTATATCTATAATATTTTCATTATATTTATTTCTATCTATCTCCATTTGTTTACAATACACAGTTATACACAAGATGCATTAAAATTCTTACATATGTGAATAAACACTAAAAGGAAAGTAAACCGAAATGAATGATATAATGTTTTCATTGTAAGCATAATTATAAAGAAATTTCAGGCGATGCATTTAAAATCAGAATTAACGTCTTTAACAAAAATAAATTTAGAGAAATAAAGACAGTCTTGATTTCCAGTGTGTTATTTTGCATTGCCACAATGACCTGTAAATAAAATATTTGCCTATTACATCTCATAACAAATTGAAAACCATATTTGTGCAGCTTCTTTCATGAGTTATTGTACAGTTGTGAGAACAGACTCACTTTTACCAGCATTCACCTTCTGGACATCCCCGTTTTGGGGTTTGAGACCAACGTAGAGTCTCGTTTGTGAATCCTCTATCAGCCACAGCAGATCCCAACTAAAAATAACATATTTAAATTGGAATGTAACAATACACTTAAATCTTCATGTCTCATAGAAACTTTTTATCATACCACTGTAAACCCAGATTAAAACAATGCCATTATATTCCTCGTGAAGCAGCTCTGGAACAATAGCAACTTAGTAATTATTTGGTGAATTTTCTGAAATAACCTGATTTTATTTACGATCACTGAAACCTTCTGTGAGAATTAAGGTTTCATGTAAATCTTCAAACGCAACAAAAAACAATCACAACAAGCCTTAGAATGTCCACAAAGGCATTTAAGGGTTTCATTGAATTTCAGTCAATTTCAGGATTATGAGGTCTGTTTTTAAAAAGAGGGAAACCAGACGAGAGCTGCTGATAATTTATTCATGACAGCTGAATTTGTTGTAGACCTACTAATCTCTTTGTAAAAATAAAATAAATATGCTGCCAGCTCTCTAAAGTCATTTTTACAGCCCTTGAATTT